AAAAAATACATAAAAAATGAGTGCATCGGATCACAGAACATTCTTTAGAAATCCTAGGATTAGTGATGTAGGTATGTATGCTGTCATGTTCAAATTTAATTGTTTTATCGCCATCTAGACTAAAGCTATTTGTGAAATACTCTGGGCAATTAATAGCTGCATATGGAAGCTGCTGTAGCATTCTCATCATAAAGTTATAAATTGCTCTGTGCTGGAAGGGACCTTACAGACCATCTGGTTCTAAGCCCATGATCCAGGACATAACTTTGCAGGATTTACCCTAACATTTTGTATGAAACCCATTGGCATTGTGCTTTTAATAGTGAATGGAAAAAAAATCTTTCTACTGATACCTGATGGTAAGTTTCATTACTAAAGGAACCTGAAAAAGAGGTTGGAAAGAAAAGCCCCTTTCCTTATCCCGATAAGCTTCCTCGCTTATGTGAAGCTGCTGAGGGTCCGTGTAGTAAAGCTTTGGAGTACTAGAGCAAAAGTTCAAGTATTTTCATTCAATTAGCAAATATTTCTTATAGAAAATTGTGAAAAGACATTTTAAAATCTATAAGTTTAATATTTTATATTTTTATTCGTGTGTATATACATATGTATATTTGGGTGTCTACATATGTATAAAAATATTTTTTTCTTTGTAAAATATAAGACACATCCAGGATATTAACTATTAAATATGAAGTTTGAATCCTACATGCCAAGGCCCTGATTTTGGAGTTATCTTACATGGATAGACCCTATTGACTTCAGAAAATTCCTCTGGGTAAAGTCCTCAGTAGAAGAAGAAACAGATAAAGACTAGTAGAAGAGATTCATAAGGTTCAGATATGCAGATTAAAGGAAAAAGCATATTTAAATAAAAGATAAATGTAAATTATTGGGGTTGGAGGTCTGGAAATGGAACCTGTCTTGCATTCCTCCTCGTTCTTGTCTTAAAAGAGTGACATTATTAAGGTGGTGAAGATGAGTTACCTGAGGAAGTACCTCAGGTACTTACTTTCGCTTACATTTAGTTCTATAGGTAGCTCTGTATATGTTTTCTATAAGTCGTTTCTAAGAGTGTAGAAAATATCAGATTATGTTGCTAAATTAAACTTTGGACTTTGAAAGACAGTTCTAAGGCTATCAAACATTGCTGCAAGCTTCTTTGTTTAGAAACTCAACATAGTCACAACTTTTTTTTTACCTAGGTGCTACCAAGTTTACTGTTTAAGTAAACTTGCTTATTCACTGTTCTCTGCTACATTTTTCTTTTGTTAGAACAGATTAGGACAATGCAACCAAAGAAAAACAATGCTTCTCCCTGTTATTTTATAGCATTCCTTGTTCTTTCCATCTATTCATTCGGTGGCAGAGTTCATTCACCCTTTCTAGTTGTTTCTTCACTGCATTTCTTATTGCTTCCTGTACATCAGTATACACTTTTACATTTTTCATCCTGTTTTTGATGCTTTTTTGTGGCCAGCCCTCTTCTCTCATTTTATATTATAAGAAAGAAGGGGTGCAAAAAAGATTATGTGTATTTGTTTTTTGATCGAGTCTCTTATCCTTAGTACACTATATTGAGGAATAAAGCTGGCAGAGAGAAAGCAGGGTTTCAAAACCCAGCAGTGAGTGAGAGCTGTCAAGCAGGGACAGCACACCGTAATCCTCTTGAGTGGTTTGAGATGACAGTGCTGCCGTAGACCAAAGAAAACGGGCTGGGATATTGCAATTTGGAGTGCCATACCCAGACAGAGTTCCTACCCCTGGATATCTGTAGCACGATTCAGAACAAGTGATGTCAGAGATCCGTGCTGGTGAAATGATTTAGGAACTCCCTCAAGTCAGGAATCAGCAGTCAGTGTGGCACGGCTAAAAGCTGGCTGCAGCACGAGGGATTTGTCCGTGTGTGCGCTGCCGTGTGTGGGGGGTGCGCACAGAACGCTTCCAAACCTGGTGACACGAGGTCCTTACAGAGGCCTCTGCGGCAGCAGGCGCTGCAGGGAGGGATTCAGATCTTTAACCTCTGCTGGAAGATAGCAGTGTCCTGCCTTTGCTCTGCATCATCGGGTGCTGTCCTGGCATCAGCTGAGGATCTCGGGTGCTGGAACATCACACCGTCGTGCTTTTCAAAGGTCGTGAGATTCACAAGCACCATAGCAAGGAGTTATGCTTCATGATCTCTAGCCATAGTTGATGTTCTTAGCAGTGCCATTTACTGGTTCTTTTCCAATGAATAGGACAGAAGGCACCTGCTAACTTCTCCCAGGTGCTCTCAGGGGTTTGCTTGCAGGGAGCCTCCATGAGAAATGTTACAGGATTGCTCTGAAGCTCCTGCCATGCCCTGCTGCTCCTGTGTGCAGACGCTGACCTTCCTGCCCAAAATGACTCCTAGAAGCCTAGAAGTGATTGTAAGCCCTTGGGAGCAGTAATAAAGGAGTAATGAGCTTAGGAGAGAGAACCAAGTGAGTGGCTTTTCAGAGAGTCTGCTGACAGACCTTTTACTTCTTTGAACATGGAATCATGTTCCATGTCCTATCCACAGATAGGAAGAGGGGAAGTGGATTTTAGTTAAACGAAAACAGATTTAAACTGAATCTTAGGGAAAAATTCTTCAGTCGAGAGTGGCAAGACTCTGGACTAGAATGCCCAGAGAGGCCGTGGCTGCCCCCTCTCTAGAGATGTTCAAGGCCAGGTTGGGTGAGGCCTTGAGCAACCTGGGCTGGTTAAGGGCGTCCCTGCCCATGGCAGGGGGTTGGATCAGATGATTTTTGAGGTCCCTTTCAACCTGGGTCATTCTAGGATTCTGTGATGATGTCTGCTGGACGATGTTGTAAGCAATCTCAGAAAGAAGGGGGAAAAAGTCTCCACACAAAATCTTGCTAATTTAGGGATGAGAACTTTAAATTTGGATTGGTGGAAATAAAAGCCCACAAAGCTACCTAAAGGCCTAAAAAATGGGAAAAAGGAGATTTTTCTTACTAATCTCATAGGAGGGACAAAATGGAAGAAATTAGTGGATCAAACTACTGAATGTTTTTTGCGTAAGCTACACAGAATAAAAAGTCGTAATACAAGATCAAAGCTATAATCTGGTTAGCATAACACTGATTTGGTGGAATAATTCGCATGTTGAGAAGATTAGTGGCAAAGAAAGCAGGACTGACAACAAGGAGGGAAGGAAGACGCCTTCCTCTGCGTAGGTGGTGTATCCTCTCAAGTTCAGTGAGTGGGAACTGCAAAAGCATTGCCTGTGGAAACCGCAGGTGATGATTAGAGGGGAGGAAAGACACAGTTCTGGTTTAGTGGGAGCCTGGCGCAGGCCAGTAAGCCAGGGAGATCTGTTGGTTAATATTAGGCAGATACATATCTGAGGTTACCTTGAGCGCACTTCTCTCTTCTGTTAGCAAATCTTGTTCAGACAGGATTGACAGCCTAGGTTTTCTGGATTTGTTCTGATATGGCTGCTGGTCTTCTCAGTCCTTGGCTCTCTCAATGTTGAGTGTGTAGATAATACGCTTCGGATTAAAGTGACCACGAAATGGAAGTTATCATTCTTAGGAAGCTGGCAAAAGGGAAGAGAAATAAAGGTAGTGAATTCTAGGAATGTGAAGGTAAGCTCACAGTAAACTTGGGGCAACTGTTGTTCAGGGAATATGGCGATCCCTGAGTGAAACTTCTCAAAAGGGATCCTTGTGAATTATCTTCACCACATGGTGGAAGACCAGCTTGGCTAAATCTCTATTGACTTCAAATGCTTTTTCAGCAGAACTGCTTCCTCTGGGATTTTTTGGACAACAGTCTTTTAATAGTGTCATGGCCTTTCAAATACTAAAGATAGGGCTGCAGAAAGTGGATGTTATAATCCATACTGCATGCAGCTGAAACCAAGGATGATGTTTTCCTTGCAATTTAGTGCCTTTCTCTTTTTAAAGGAAGTACATTATCTTTCCAGAGGCCCACGGAAGTTTAACAGAGGAATTACGCTGTTCTCATGGCTGGACATTCAATGGGAAATGTAACTGCAACTCATTCTGATTGCATATAGTTAGTAGCTTATATAACTTTTAGGAAAAAAAAAATTACTCTTATTGTTTAGTCCATAGGTCACAATAAATTTTGAGGTAGTTTTCCAATTTGTGAAAGAAGAATTCATGCATTAAAACTTATGTATTTCTATATTAGAACATACTGAAATTCCAGTAAGCCCAGTTTGAAATGAATTGTCCTTCAAGTTCACATATAAAAAAAACTTCTAAACTCTTTGTAAACAGACAAATAGTTAATGTCTCTTGTATAATTTCTACTGTTTGTTTCAAATGCTCAGTCACCAACTAACAATCTCTTTGTTATGGAAACTTTTAATGTTTAAAATATGTTGTTTCTAATTTCTATCTATAATTTTTTAGTTTATGTGTGTGGTTTTTTTGTGGTAACTAGAAAATTTGGCGATTTCTATGAGAAATGGTCCTTGCAGACAGAAGTATAAACCTGTTGACTACAAACATCTATATGAACTTGCTGCGGCTGAAAAAATGACATCTGCAAAAATTCAGTTAAAGGTATTATTCTTATATTATTTGTCATGTGAATGAACTTAAAATTCAGTCATCATACTTCTTTTCACTGCCCCAAGGAATCTGAGAACGAATAGGGATAACAAATTGCTGTAACAGTATTCAGCAAAAGGAGGGAAAAGATGAGTTTAGCACAGTGAGCATTATTGTGATTTGGACACATTGGTGTCAGTGTTGAATTTCTTTGAATTGTAGATGCTTCCCAAAATGACGGAGTAAGAGTTTGTCTTCTGGGACTTTGAGGAAATTCATCCAGACTGGTTACATAAACTACTCAAAATACTGAGGGAAATGAAGAATTTGTGGGAATAAATGGGAAGGGGGGGTTGATTCAGAAAGAAAGCAAACACCCTCTCCCAAACCAAACTGAAACAAACAAAAACCAAAACAGGAAAGAAGTGGAATGAGGTCTTCCAAAAGTCAAGCTGAGATACATCTTGAAAAGAAAATTAATTAAACGGGGTTTATAGCCATAAAATATAAATGTAGAGCTAGACAGTTAGAAAGGAATAAATAACTGCAGTACAGCCCAAATGGTAAATAAGAAATTACTGTATTTAATATTAGTAAAGTTTAAGGAGAACTTTACCTCTGCTTTTATGAGGAATGGTGATTTATAACGTGTGAACAAAGCAGGGCCATGAGCAGAACTCAAGAGGCGGTGAAAGTCAGGGTTGTCAAACTGGAAAGAAGACTTAAGTACCAGATTTTGCTTTGTTATGTCAGCTCTTGTGTGCCTCCCTTATCTGGAACGCGGCTTGCTTTTGCCCTTGCTGTAGCTGACGGGTTTGGGTTTAGCCCGGCTTGGTAGCTGAGGTTCAGCAACACCCAGACACAGCTCTTCAGCCTCCGGAGGCACTTCTGCTCGAGCAGCAGAGCTGCTTCCATGTTTAGCTCCCATGTGTCAGACCTCGGCGCGGGGCTGCCCCGGTGACTTTCAGCACTCTTCTGGAGCTGGGACCATCTCGGCACCTGTGGAACTGAGCTGGCATTGCAGGTTCCAGTATGGCTGATGAGCTGCTGTGTGACACCGTGCAATTAGTGACACCTTGCAATTAGTGACGCCATGCAATGAGCCATGAGCCCCGGGAGTGAGGGGTTGGAGACCTGGAGAAGCCATAGGTGGCTTTGGGAGCAGCCAGACCTCGCTAGGTAGAATCAGTCTGCCTGGATGGAGGTGGCTTTTCTGTCTTGCTTCCCAGCCTGTCCTCCCTGAATATGTGTCACCTGGCTTATCAGTCTTGCTTACATACAACGTGGGAGAGCTTGTTTAAATTTTGTGCCTTTCTGAGGGAGGGGGTTTAATTGCTTCCAACGTTATCTACAATTCAGCAGGGAAATCATGGAATATTTTTGTGAATAAGCTCCTTTAAACAGCAAACCCAAATGTATGAGAAAGCTGCAGCTCATCTTAGCTCTCATCCAGCTGTACACTAAATAGTTTGTTCACGATTTTGCAGTGGGCAGAAAATAACATTTTAATCTTAACATGTTTGTCTTTAGAAAAGAAATTCTTTGAAACCTACTTACGCGTTTAGGTCTTCTCCATCCAGTTTATCATTCTGTTGTGTTTGTTAAGCCAGGACAGAATCTGAAGTGTTGTGCTTGTTTTCACTGGGACGGCCGAGGCGTGGCTGTGGGTGCTCTTTCAAACGGGATGGGGCATGAGTGCTCACACAGCACAGCTCCTTGGGCAGGGCTGGAGCCTGAAGGCTGTTAGGAGTAAACAAGGTTTGGGTTTAGCTGTGGGTGTCTGGAAACACTTGCCAGATCTGTATTTTTAAGAACATCACTTTAAAAAATCATGCTTTCTTTGAAGGAGAATATATGTCGAACTGCCAGAAGTGCAGATGTCCAAGAAGTCTCCAGCCTCGCTGGAGCACGTGGCTCCGTGTGTTTTCTGTTCAGTCGTGTGAGGACAATGTAAAACGTTGATCCCGAAACACTGTGGAGTGATAGCTCCTTGTGAGGGTGGAACTGCTTTTAGTGTGTAACTGGTTCACTCATGAGTGTTATATGTTTAAAAAATAATAAAAGTGAAATTCACAGAAAGAAATGATTTCTGAAGGAATTGACACGGATACACGTTCAGCTGAAATAGTTCCTTTAGGATGAGAAACAAAACAGAAGAGGGAAAAGATACCATTTTGAAAGAGGTCTCTCAAGCAGTAATGTTATTTGAATGCTTTTTCAGAAAACTGCAGATCCAGTGTAAGAATTATGAAGTTTTGTGTGTTTAACTGTGCTAACACAGCGATTTGTCCCTCCAGCCCTTGGCCATTCCTCTCAACAGTTGCAATTTTGTGGATGGCCTTTGGAATGAAAGATGCTGAAGAGTATAGAAACTATGTATAATGTCATGACTAAAGTTTTCTTGTGTATATGACTAAGGGGCTTGATCAAATGATGTCTTTGGCCTGTATAAAATATAATTCAGAGTCTTCATTCAGATGGGCTGGTAGAGTTCAAAGGAAAATTTGCTACAGAAATACGGGATTAGGATAAAGTTCTAAAAGAGAACAAATCCTGTGAATGAATATCTAAAGCCTATTCAGAAGTTCTTTGAATGGATGTTACTACATGAAGTTTATTGGTTAGCAATATAACCGTATACTTTTTGTTCTGATACTGTTTCTTAAATCTTAGTAGATAGAATAGATACAGTTCTAAAAAGCATAATTGACTAGTTCTCACTACAAGCCTGAAGGCCTTGCAACAAAAAATGGGGTTACTCGTGCAGCTCCTCTCTTTGTATTTAAAATAGAAAAGGGTGACAGTGAATAAGAGAAAACATACATACTTTCTTTATAGTATTGTTTTAATTCATTCAAGTATAATATGTCAGAAGCTCTGGCAGATATTTCCTCATGGAGTGGCAGTATAAAATTCTACTGAATTCATTCAAGGTCTAAACTAATTTTTTATTGTCTGTTTTCTGGTATTTCGCCTTTTAGAGTGTTTTCCAACTGAACAGGGAGTAAAATATATACGCTGAAAGCTCCACAGAGAATAGAATGTGTTCCCACCTACTACTTTTTTGTGGCTGATTCAGGCTATCTAGATTTTTGAAGTGCTGGGTTACTCCTTGACTGAAGTAGAACCAAAGGTGAAAATGGTAAATCAGTTATTGACCATTTAAGAAAAATGCTAACACTGCAGCAGTTATACTTAAATGTCATTGGTGTTGCTATAAAATAATTTCAAGAGCATATTAAACACATCTACTTCAACTTTTATTTCACTTGAGTTTTAGCATTGATTTGAAGATATATGTATTTTGAAATCGCTTTAAATACAGTAAACTGTTTGCTAAAGTCTAGTTTTAAGCAGCTAATGCTAATCAAGAGGAAGCTATTAGTAATGTTTCAAACATGAAAATATGTAAGCAATAAAAATAAGAAGCCATTATGTTTGATTCAAAAAGCATTGTGCCATACTGACTGAAAGCCTAAAACAGGTGTTTTCAAGCTTCCTATAAACACCTCGTTTCTCACTCAGAGTCATGTAATCCCTCTGTAGCACTGATTTCCCCAGTAACACCACTAAAGCGGGTTTGCCACAACAGCACAGTGGATTAACCACTTTCTAGTTGTGGTTCTTCCTTATTTAACTGCCTAGAAACCATGTGTATTCAACCAGATACATTAAACTTGGATGCATTTGAGAGGTGTAAATGTTTCTTGTTTCAAAATTTTAATTTTTGGGGCTTTGTTTTTTTAAAGTAAGATTTTGGTGTGGTGGCAAGTGAATGAGAGGCCTATCTACAGGAAGGAAGGTCTGGGAAGGTGAAAAAATAAAAGGTGGGAGGGTGTGAATTGTGGAAACCTCTGGAATGTGAGGGGGGTTTGCAACTCGAAGGACTTGGCTGGGGCAGGGAAGAGGTCAGGTGTTATGTGGCAAAGTGACAGAAAGAGAAGGATCAGGAAAGGAGCCAGTTGCAAACTGAAATGCTGCTTTGTCCTGAGCATCCACAGGGAGGCCGGAAGGTGGTCGGGATGACAGGAGGGAGAGAGAAAACTGACTTGTCTCAGGGGCTTCTGGCAGCCCCCAACTTTTTCTGATCCTTTTTCCTTCCCTGTTGGTTGGCCAGAGTCATCTGGCTCCCACCGCATCAGCCTTTTCCTGACAGCTTCTCCTCTAGTTTCAGCAGTAACTCCATCTGTCTCGGAGCACGGATTGCTATTATATCTGAAGTTGGAAGCAATGTTTTTGTGAAGCCCTCAGATAGTTTCAGAGCCTCTTTAATTGGATAGATTTTGAAAAAGCACTGCTCAGTAATGATTTTTCTCTTGAAAGACACACTTTCACTCTTTCATCTTCCCACCTGTAAGAAAGCGTATTTTTCTTTCTCTGGCTCGTCTTCCCCCCTTTACCTCCTGGGAAAATCGGGATGGGAAAGGAAAGGAGAAGAAAATGGACTGCATTTTTTTTTCACTTTTCCCTCTCATTTAATTGTGATTTGAAATGGAACAATTTTTTTTTCATGAAAATTAGTTATATTTGAACCTCTTGTTCCTAAAAAAACAGTTTTGAGAAAAGCTTTTAGCTTCACTATTCTGTAATTAAAAGTTTCCATATGAAGGCCTTTGATAAAGCTATTGAACAGGTTTAAAATACTTACAAACTTTATTTTTTCCTGCAGATTAAAAAAACAGAGCAAGTTTCAAAAATTAGAAAGGAGCAAATGCTACTGAAACAGCATCGGCAAGTGTGGTGGCAAGAGCATAAAAGACTGAGTGAGAACAGGTAAGAGCTGAGGAATATCAATTAGCCGTTATTAAAGAACCGCTTCAGTAGGCAGAGATTCTGGTGTAGCATACTTGATTCAAGGGACATTCAGTGGAGAAGATTAAAATACCTGAACTGAAGAAAATTTTTTGTGCAGAGTGGGAGAGTTTGTGATCTACGCTGAAAGTGGTCTGTAGACACGAAGAGAACATGTGCAAGCAGGGGAGAACAAAGTGGATGCACCTCTCTGTGAAGATTTCGTAGTTGACCTCTCAGCATTTGAAGAGCCTGTGTTTGTAGGCGTATCGGAATTTCTGAGATACTTTTAATTCCCTCAGAACCTGTCCCTAGATGGGCATGTTGAGTTTGTGCTTATAACAGGGAACGTTGTCATTAGTCTTGTCTGTTAGCTTTCGTGTGGTACGCACAGCACATCACCAAGAGCAGTTTTTGCTCAGAGGAGCATGGCTTCTGTACCACCTTCATGTCCAAGGCCTGCACTTTGTACCTTTGTACCTTCCCAGGCTTAGAATCCCCCTTTTAATTTCATTATTAGAGCTCTTGAGGCTTATCATTCGTGCAAACTTAATGAATAAGAAATTAAAGCTTCTGTAAAACTTATGTTCATACCTTGCAGGCAAAAGGCAGAAGAAGAAATAAAGACCTTTCTTGATGAAGAAAGCCATAAACACAACTTTTTTTTTGATATGAGGGACTTGGGTAAGAATTGATTATTTATTATGGAGAAAATCTTGATTATTTGTTTGAGTTTTTAAATCTCTGTCTTGACAAGTTTAGATTTAGGAAGCACAGTGTTGTGTAGTATTTTGTGTGTTTGAGAAAGCTTTATGTTTCATTTGGATATAGAGCATAAATTATCAAAGGAGCGGGATACATACCAAAAAAGTACTGTGGTTCCTATCTGGCAACTGAAAGAGAATTTGAAATTCAGGCTGTCTGAGATGCAGGGGTACCTCTCAGAAGAAGCTTGTGTGAAATCAAAGATGAATCCAGTTGAGATGTTACAGCAGGTTGGTGTTTTAACTTTATTTTTATAGTCTATTATCATCATATTTTTAGCATTTTGAATTGTTTTTATGTAATATTTTGAAAATATTACTCAGATTCAGAATATCTAGTAACCTCTGCATTTCTTGTAGTGTAAAAATGCATCACTAAAATCTGTAAAAGCATAGCAGTGTAGAACTGGAAACCAGGCTCAGTTGCTCTAAATGAGAGCTTTCGTATTCTAAACAGATAAAGAAGTAACAGTAACATATTTCATGAAATAGATCAGATTTGTGAAGAAGCAACAGACGGCAATATTGGAATTCCTTGTCCGTCAAAGTCTGACTTTGGAAAGAGAACTTGAAGACTGCAAAACAAAAGTAAGCTTTTCCTTTCAAGTTTTTTTTGAGTGAAAACGCAATGGGGAACAGTTTGGTGAGTGGCATTTTTTCGTCACAGGCATTAGCGCATTCCTTTAAAGAGAAGACTGGACTTTTTCTTGACATTCCTTCAGCACTGCTGTCTTTGGAATGCCCCTACTCTGATTTGAAGATCTTAGTTATTGATGAATACCGGAAGCTCGCAAACGGATACTGGTCTAAGCTTCAAGAGATTGATCATCAGTTAGAAGTTTTATCTAGGTAATGACGTCTGTTTCTGCATTTCTTTCACCGGGTGAGCAGAAATGGCTATAATGTGTTCTGCAGTCCATAGATCCTGCAGGTGCCTTTACCACTGGAGTTGGTGACACGTTATGCAGAGCAGAGGGGAGTCGACGCACTGCCTGGCGCTCTGGGGTTAAACAGTCGGTAGCTGTTTGCACAGCTGAGAGAACTGAGGCAGTCCTTTCAAAAGCTCTGGTCTGAAATAATAAGTAAAATGTTTTGTGGATTAAAGAACCAGCAGTTTGGTGTGCATCAAATGTCCTCTTCACATGCTTTTTTATGAATAGAAATGATTCCATATGGTAATTATACTATCAAATTTATACCAGAAAACTGTGGTCTTTCTGAGAGAGAGCTAGAATGGATTTATCTACAAAGCAGATAAATATGTCCAATCACAAATTTTGGATCAGTGCAGTAATTCTCATCACAAAGAGATGTAAAAAATGTATGTAGCTCTGATTCAGAGTAACTGAAAGGATGAGAGGCTTTTCTGCAAGCAAAAAAGTTTGTTGGAAAGAACAGAAATAGTCATAATGATCTAGAAATGTAACATACGCATGTATGAATAGTATAAAGCTTAGCTTTTCTGCTGAGGCTAACTTGGGTCCAGGAGATATTGAGTTACAGATACTGGACCAGCATTGACTTCTTTTTGCCATCTACTGATAGTCCTCTGGCTTAGAATGACATCGGGCTTTGAAAAGACGGGAATTAGGAAGGCTGGTGGAATTGTTTGAAGCCTGGGCAGAGGAAACTGGGGAGAGCAGGACAGTCCCTAAGTTTCTTTGGTAAAACAATCACACACTGCTTGTAAATCTTCCTCTTTTTCTATATAACCCTACAGGGCAGCACTTAAATCTTCTGCCACTGCTGCTGGGTTAGTGTGGGGGTGCTGAAACAGGCTCAAGATGTTGGATCCCATAGAAAGTGAAGTTGTAAGCTACTTATCTTCTGTATGAATCATACAGATATTCTGTAGGTTCTTCTTTTGAAACCTGTATGTTATTGTGCTAACGTCCTAGCTATTCGAACGTGATACTTATTAAAAATTGTTCTGCTCTTTCTCATACTTAGAGCATTTAATAAGCAGCAAGTGGTAAATCTTAAGAGCATTTGCTGCTGTCTTTGATATTTTGTTACAGTTGCTCCTATAGAAGAAATTTTAACCTCTGTGAGAAAATCTGTGATGAACGCTGAATAATTAAGTGCGTACAAAATCTTTCTAGTGGTTTTAATTCGAATTATGTTAAAGTTTATGAACAACACAGTTTTGGTGGTAATTCACAAATTTCAATCCCTTGATCCATACAGCACATGTGCTACTGAGTAACAGACAAACATCAGTGTAGACAACAGAATCTGTGAAAAATCTGCCGTGATACTTCCGTTGATCGTATGCTGGGTTTGAATTTAGGTCTTGAGCTAGCTAATATTGCACTGGTAATTAAGTAACATCAAGACTTGTACATTTGTAAGGGAAGGAAATTCAACTGTAGGCATGAAAACGTATGCAGCTGTACTCTGAAGGAATTAAGTTAGGGTCTCTAGGTGAGAAAAAAGAAACAGATGTGGCTGGCAGAAGTGCTGGTGGTGGTGGCAGCAGCGTGCAGGTGAGACAGAGGGGCAGGTCGTGGGAGACAACTGACACCCCTGGGTCAACATGGGCCAGTATTTTTAGCTGGGAATGTATGAAATCCTAAATGGATCACCAGCAATTATCTTAGGCGTTTTATTTAAATCTACATCTTGGTCTTTTTTGTTTGCCTTCTGCTCTCTGGATCTGTAATATATTGCTCATTTATGTTTCTATGAATTTATCCACAGCAATGTTAAAGATGTGTTTTCAATTAAAGAAGCCAGACTTTGTTCTTGTAGAATTGCTTACTTCCAAGATCTGAGATATATAGAAGACAGAACACTCTCTGTCTCTTCTTACATTTATATTGGCTCATTTGCATGAAAATATTTTCTGAGTTTGCAAAGATAGAGCCTTGCAGTTGAAGTAGTCTATAATTCATCAAGCGCACTTTGATCCAACTGACACAGATAATACTGTCAAAAATTGAGTGACGGATTTTTGACTTTGGTATGTAACCAGTGTTCTGCTGATTAATATAGCCTTAACGAAGCCTTTGCAATTATTGTCATTCCTCTATACCCAAAGATACCAAACATTCTCCTGCAATGCATTGCTTTTTTTCTCTTTTTTGGAATTTGAGAAGTTGCTCGGTGGAACAGTGTGATTATATGGAAACTTGGCCACTTCATCTGAGGATTACCTCTCTGTCCTTCTCCCTCTCGCAGCATAGGCTTGAATGTACGGTGAAGAAACCTGAAGTTAATACTGGTCTTCTGCGGTTACACATCTCGTCGTTTAACCGCCACACTGCCTGGAACAGAAAATTTGCAAAATGTGCATAGAATTTCAAAGAAGAAAAATGAGATCATATCCTGATCTGCTATATTCGTTGTGTGCTTTTTAGTCCTACTGAAGTGCACATTACAGTGTTTATCGCTTTCGGAAACTGAAGAAGAATTTGGGGTTTTTTCAAGCGTAACATGGGATTATAATGTTTTATAATCTAAATTAATTTCTTTTGCTGCTGCTAAAACACATATCTTTGTGTATGGGAAATAGCCAAGTCCTGAGTTATCCCCCAAATTGTGGATTTGGACCTGGTGTGCATGTTATAGTGGATGAGTCTCTAAGCACTATTTTATTTTTGCCACGCTTTCCAAGGATGTCTGAATTATTTAAACAACTGAAGGATGAATGGAGTATTGCATATTCAGCACTGTATCCTCTGCAGCATCCTTTCAAATGAATGGGGTATTAGGACTAAGTCAAATAAATTTAGTTCCTCTTTTCAGGCCTCTTACCAGGATGCTTCTGGCACAACAATTGGCAATGACATAATTAATCGTGGGGGAGGTTAACGTCTCACTTGGTACTATTGTTGCAGCCCGCGTGCCTGCAGATTCAACACGGCAGCGGTGCCTCCAGTGTACATCGCTGCTGCAAGGGATATGTGGGGATTATAGGGCGGAGAGGGGAGCTTCCCTTCTGAGTTATTTGTATGCTTTAGAATGTGTAAAGCCAGGGATTAATGCTGGGTAAATCTGTTTCAAGGGAAGCAGCTGCCTCAGGGTTGTTGAATATAAGACAATTGCCGTGTTTCAGTTCTGAATCAAAATAAAGATTGTACTGTTTTCTACTAGAATGATACATACAGGAAGAGCAAGCACTGCATTTAAGATCTGGGTCATGCATTCAGCCTTGTAGAAGTTTGTCAGTATCTTGACACCAAAGAAGCCTGATATTATCTTAAATATTAATGTGCAATGTTCTGGCACTTTTCAAACTCATTTTAGATGAGATCTCCCTTTCTGAAATTTTACAACAGTTTAAGTGAGGTGACATCTTAAATTCTGTCAGGCAGGATATTTTGAAATTCTCCATGCACCTAATGGTTGCGAATGCACTGGGCTGGATCATGCTGCTTTTTTCTTTTTATTTTCTGGCTATTTGTCTGTGAACAGCTGACAGAATCTGAGCACAGCTGACAAACTTTGGCACAGCTGCCAAACCAAGGCATTGGCAGTCAGCTTGTCCCTGCTTACAATAACCTACTTGTAGCTCTAGCTAGAGCTTGATTGCTCCCCAGAATATCTTCCACAAACCTCCGTTTCTCCAGCTTGTTCCTGAGGAGCAGGAGGTTCGTTGTCAGCTGGCCCTCGGAGGGAACCCTGAGAGGGAGGTGAGCTCTGGGAGGCAGACACTGCTCGTGCCTCCACCCTTGTGCCCTGGGGGCAGAGGATTACTGATTTCTTTCTGAAATTACACGAGGTACTTCAAAATCCAACACACAAACTAGTAAATGCTCTCTTGGGGTGGCTGGTATTCCCTCTGCGTAAAGGCTAGCTGAGCTTTGTGGTAGTTCTAATAAACAAGTGAATAAAATCTTGAGTCTGGAAAGGCAAGAATGCTAGGAGTTACCTTAAGAAAAAACGCACTTTTGTAATCATTTAGTTCAGCGTCAGTAGGAGCAGTTGCAGTGCAAGAGATTTAAATCCTGGCAAAGAATATTTAATTTGTTCATTAAAGTTATTCTTCAGAAAGCCTATATCTCAGAATATCAAATTATGACACAGAGATTCTAAAATCATTAAATGAACTGATTTCATAGAAAAGCTCCCTCTAGAGAAAAGGGAGGAGTTGAAAATATTAATTTCTGAGGATCAGTTACAAGACATTTTTCGCAGAGGCAGTCCATGTTGCAGAAATAGCAGCTCCTTGCAGCGCAGGGCCTCTCGTGTGTGGAGCGCTGTGCCTGCTGCCCGAGGGTCACGAGATGTCACCGCAACCAGCTGAAGGGTTCCTTAGCCCCGCTTCACTTTCTGGGGTACTATTTCTTCTTTAGACTTAGCCAGTGGAAAAAAACTCATCTCAGGCATCTATATTCATGGTCTGTCATAGGAAATTTAGGCAATCACCTATAAAGAAACACTTTCATTGCTGTTCTGCTTCTGCTAATGGAATTGCACTTTTTATGTTGTCTCCAACAGTTGTTTGGTGGTTGTCGGTCACCGCAAATAGACTTTTTACAGGCACCAGATCTTTCCTGTACCCTGTGTCGACGCTACCTCTATTTCTTTTTGTGATGGCTGGGTTTAATAGCAAACAGCTGGGTCCTAGAAACAGTTTGTCAGATATTTCACACAGTTTGGAGGAAGAGAAAGGATTGCTCTGTCCCGTGATGTGGCACGGCTGCCTCTGGACAAGTTAGTCTTTTTCAAAGTAGATTTTCTATGTGTTGCTTTCATTTGGCTCCCTTGATAAATGGGTAAGCTACTCAAGCACTGCCCCAGAGGGTCAGCTAAGGGTTAGGGCTTCGTATTATTCTGCGAGAAAAACTTTTATGTCTGGAATCTCTCTGTGTTCAACACAAACATCGTTATTGATTTTGATGCATTAATGCCCATGATAAGGTTATTGAATTTTATTTTATATTTTTGTAGAATGAGATTTCTCCTTATTTGACCATCTTTGCTGTGATGCTGTCTGCATAAAAGACAAGAGTAACTTTTAACATTTAGCCAAAGAAAAACAAAATACAGAAAAAAAGTACTCAGAGCGCAAGAAACAACGTGTTCATTACTAAGAAACAGTAATTGTAATGTTTCCTCATATTTGGTTGTCGTTCAGTTGTCACTATTCTAACCTGGAAATAATGATTCTGTGCTGGAAATGTAACAAGCTAAGATTTTTTTGTTTTATTTTTTTTTCATGAAATTCAGAGGATGAAGAATGGAAGTGGGGAGGGAAAGACCTTTGATCACTAGCTGTCTCCAGTAAAGGTTAAATCCCTTTTAAGCCCATAAAGGTAAAAATAAAGCCCATTAGTCTGCCTGAAAAGTGTAAAATTAAATGCCTTTGGGTAGGTGAAGATAGTGAACCTCTGCCCAAATTTGTGGCAACTTCACAGCAAAGCATGCAACAGCAGGAAGTGCCCGTAGAGAGGAAAAAAGGTGAAATACCCGTCATGTTCCCTTACCTGACAGGATATTACTTTGAAAACACGTTGCTGAAATGTGGGATATTGTGTCTTCATGTTCTTGAAGTGAAGCTTTCCATTACTTAAAACTGACAGGCCTAGGGACGTTTTCTTGTTTCTTCCTTCAGTGTCCCAGAATATTGTACAATGACAATCTGTACCACTGTGGTTTTGCTGTGTAATGTTTTTAAAGAAAAGTTCTGTTAAACAGGATTGCTGAAATTTTTAATATTTGTGTTCAATGTCCTTCTTTAGAGATAATGCTAGATTGTATCATAAAATGTAGTTTAAGATTAGTCATATATGAGCATCTAAAAAAAAAAAAATCCTCTTTTTAAAATACCTGATATTTCTGCCTGCGTAAGGGCAAGGTTGTTCTAAAGTTTTTCTAAGTGCAGTGCTATTAAATACCACAAGACTGCTGCTGGCTCGGGTGGTCTGAGAGCTGCACACGGCTGGAGGCTGCAGGAATTAGGTGGGGGCTGGAGTCATATGATTGCCTTCTTTTCATTTCCCCTGGGCTTTCGGTCACTTTGGAAAACGGGTCACTGGGGTAGAGAGACCTTTTGCTCTGAGTCACTGTGGCTGCGGGTCCATTAATGCTGACTCTAAAAGCCTGACGTTAATCCCTTCAAGGCCGAGAGTTCAGGCTGAGGGTAAAATCTAATCTACTAAATCCAAACCTGCGGTACTCCGTTTCAGTTCTATGTTACCTCTTACTTCTCTAATTTTCTGGCTTACTTTAGTGCATACTGATTACTGCACCTCCTGTTTTAAAAAATTGGGAATCTCATGCCTTGTTGGTGAGTTAGGGCTGTCAGAAGTTTTTTAAGCTGGTTCCTCACTTAGCTACATACGAGTATTATCATTTTGGTTTTTTTTGATCATTTATTTAGTGCTCAGTGGCAGAGACACTGATCATCATCTTCCTTTTTGACATTGTATTGTCTGTGTGGCGTGACTGTTCATTAATGTCATATATTTGAGAAAAAACCAGGTTAGAAGAGGGATGATTCACTCAAATGACTGCACAATAGATGGTCACATTAGAAAAGCAGTATAGGTTTGCTTTATTTCCTTAAAGTAAATCTATATTTCTCAACTCTGATCCACATTCAGGATTGTGAGCCCACTGGAAGGCTGGGCCTGTAAAAATAAACTAGAGCCGATCTCCTCCTTTTCAAATGTTAAGTTTTCCTGGGGCCAATTGTTTTATGTTTCTGTAGGAACATTGAATGGAAGGAAGAAGATCAGTGGGTTTTTCAGGCTGTTATCAATCAGTATCCAAGTGATCTTCAGAGGAGGAGGACCTTGTACCTCGATGCACTGCAGAGATACCTTCCTCACAAATCTAGGCATGATCTGGTCAGTGCTTCTTTAAAGATTAGATCAACTGTATAAATTCATACATGGACCATGCGGTGAGCATCTGTATTAAAGAATGTTTATTAATTTATTTTAAAATCTCTTCATTATAAATTCTGTTCTGCACAGTGAAGAAAGGATGTCCCCATCTTCAAGCTGCCTGAACTTGGAAGTGTATCACTTCTTCAAAATGAGCACTGTGGAGATTTTATAGTTGCACGTACTCTTACAGCCAAATTCACAAAATTAATTTCTTAGCATTGCTTTTGCTGAACAGTTTTATAGTTATGTCATGCTATTCTGCTTCTCTTGGTATTTTTTGTTTTTATGAGGATGTATAGCATTGTTGCACTGTCTAGGAATAGTTATTTTAATTAGTCTGTGGCACTTATATATCAGGAAGAGTGGAAAGTTATCTCCTGCTCTCAGGGAGAGGCTATTTTTATAGGCGTAATGCCTTTCAAATTGATTGCTGATTCCTTTTACACTCCACAGTGAATAAGCATAGAGCAGCTAATAGAGAAACCCGTTTCAAGGCCAGAACACTTCAGGATGTCATAAGTAAAGCAGGAGTCTTTTTTTATCTCGGCATATATTTTTAGACCATCTACTTCCTTGTGTTTGAGGAGTGCCTAGTGCAAAGGAGTGACAGTGAAGTGGTACTCATAATTAGCGTAGTTTCACTGAAAATAAAGTTCTTATGAATTTCAGAACTTTCGCCTGTGAGTACTGGGCTAAATAATTAATTGCTTTGTACAATGTAGGTATATTTTAAGCATAGCCATTATTAATAGGTCTCCCAAATTCTTTGAAGGTTCATTTAAAATTTAAAGATAGTAATGCTGCATTAAACTGATATCTCTTAGCATGTATATTAGCATGGCAAATACAGAAATGTTAGAGCAGTGCTAAGAATATATTCTTAAACTGTTTATGTTACATTAGGATACTCAACTTAGGCCCTTCTGTGCCTTCCTCCTTCCGAAGAGGAAAGGCTGAGTGGACAAGCACCGAGAGCCTGATGCCGTAGCAGCTCACTGGAGAGCTCTCTTTTGAGAAGCTCAAGCTCTCCATCCCACTTCTGCCTTACAAGAACCTTAGCTTAGGGTGCTTGCGAGCTGAGCTTACCCAGGGGCTGGCTGCAGCCATGGCAAGTGAACTCCTCATGGATGCGGTGGCCTCTGTGCCTGTGGCCACAACGAAGCTCCAAAGGCGGCGGTGCCGCTTCACCTGCACCCAGCCGCGGGCTGGCAGCAGTACCTGTGAGCTGGGCACCAGGAGAGTCAGCGAGCCCAGCCCCTTCCAAAAGCCTGGAAATTAGCATCGGGAATGGGGCCTTCGGTACTTGTGCGCAGACAGCTGCCCCTAGAATCAGCTTCACCCCTGTCACTTGTGCGTTTGGGGATATGAGACAGGTCCAAGACTCAGCTGTGCAGCCTTAGCTGTTACTCTTTCTGTCAGAATCTCAAAGCTTGAATGTCCTTGGGAGCCTCACTGAATAAGGCCAAAGGAGGCGTGTTTAAGATTAAATCCTCACCATTTTTGTTAGGTGGTGACATTAGCGGTGGCAGGATGCTGCCTGGCAAACTAAAACAATCTGTTTCAAATTTCCTATTAGGAAAGAAAAAGTGAAGCTAATTCTCATGTGTACTGCATTTGTACAATGCCTTTAATTGGTGTTCTGTTTCTTTATAGATCAGAATTTGCTACAAAGAGCCTCATACTGCTCAAAGTGTTTTATCTTTGAAGATGCACTGAAAGGACCTACTTGCATTTTATGTCTTAGGGCAGGAAGGAACTGTTGCATTTAATTTATTCATATTGCAAAAGTGTGGTTCAGAAAAGCAGGAGTGTGGGCCACTAGGACACCGCAGTGCTGTGCCGTGCAGGTGGACAGAGAAAGGCTGGAGCGTAGCTGGCTCCTAATTTTCCCTTGGCTTTAGTCACTTTTGAAAACAGGTCACTGGGGTAGAGAGAAGGACCTTTTGGTCTGACTGAGACAAGTATGTGACAGAATACTTTTGGGCCCTAAATTGTGAATTCCATAGGAATATTGGTGACAAAATAGTTAAATCTATTGTGCTGAAGATTTGTGAAAGAATTATTTTATTAATGCATATTTTTTTAAACCTTTTTGAAATGTTTTACTTTTTTAGGTTGTTCATGAGAAAGCTTGGGAGTGCTACCACTTCCTTAGGAATCAGCGCAGAGTCTTGATGTTAAATTGGGCTCAAGCTCAAAAAGCCTTTTTACTGAAGGCAGTGGCGACTGCTGCTGAAGCTTCTGCTGCTCACGAGACAGAAGTAGCATTGGCTGATTCCAGACAAAAGCAACAGGAGATCTGTGCTGATTTGAAAGCAAAGGTAGGTTCAGATATAAATCTACCATAGGCAAATCTGGGGTTTAGTGCTAAATTCAGAGTGAAGCTGTGTTTAAGTGAAGAAAAACTGACTGGAGCTAGTTGTCATAATCCTGTTTTTACTGACTTGATTGAATTGTTTTGCGCAGTTAGGGGGAAAGAAGCTAACTATAATCCATTGGCAGAGATCAATATGTGAAGCTGGACCAGCAAGTGGTTTTGAAGATGCTCTGTTTCATTACCAAGAAGGGTGCTTTTTAATGTTTCCACCCACTTTTGAACTTACTTTGCCTTTTTGAGTAAGATTTTGATTACCTAGCACACTTTAGGCCTTACTATGAGTTTCATACTTTGTGTATAATCTCTGTATGAACTGTGATCACATTTCTGTTGATGGATTTTGAGCACCATTGAAGTATTTGATCTGTGTTTCAATATTGGAAGAACAAGATTTGTTCAGGTTTGTGCAGTTCACAGTAAGCAAACTGCAGGAGTGAAGGTCTGGCAACGTATTCCTTGTGTTCTTTGTGACTTTGGCAAATTACAAAATATTTGTGTATTTCTGTTTCTTCCTCAGCGAAGTGGGATTAATAGCTGTACTGTCTGAGGCTTGGCTCAGAGTTGTTTTGAACATCGGAGTCCTCAGAAGTGGAAGCGAAATGTTCCATTCATCATCACTACCACTAGTATTTTAGATTAATGCTAGTTTGTTTTCAGAGAAATAATGAATATATGTCTTCCCTTCTGTTTATTTTTAAGGATGCTCTCAAAGACCAAAAAAAATGGATCCCATAACTTGTTTGTCCTTGTTATGGAGGTTCACAATATTCTGAAAGGTGATTTACTGTGTTAAGAGGTGAAAATGATAAAAATACCTGTTGGCTGTGGGTTTTGCAAAATAATAAAATACTGTGGGAGGAGCCTAGACACAAGAGGAAAGTGTTGCGATGTTGATGCCTAAGGCATTTGTAAGGAGAATCACATTTCTGGGCATGAAAGACATGTTAAGATTTGTTTAAACTACTCTCTGATTTTCCAGTTGCACAGAAATTAATGTCAGAGAGCACGCACCGCATATTATTCTCGCTTTACCAACACTGTCTCTGTTGAGCCCTTGCTTTTGAATACTAAAAACTTGATTTCAGTTTTTAACAGGTAGAAAACCACAGTGGAACCTGTACTGCGATTAAGATCTTTGATGTTGCTGGTTCACTGTCGTAACCACACAAACCCTCTTTTGTCTCCTGTCACTGGAAGGTGGGAGTCTGGAGGTGTTGGGGTTAGGAGCTGCGTGGGCCTGGCGGAGGGGGGAGCACCGCCATGCACTCCTGTGCCAGGCTGCCCAGCAGCCGAGGCGAGCTAAGGACTGATTCTCGGGAGCTGGTGGGGGTTCGTTTTTTGTTCTTTTTTCAGCTTGGCCTCCCTTTCTGGAATTGCTGTGTGTCTCGTATCTGCACCAGTAGAGGCCGAAGGGCCACTTATTGTGAATTTATGAGTCAGTCTTTTTTAATTTTTTTTTCCTTTTGTTCCCCACAAGAAGTAACAGTGTTATCTTCACGTAGCTTAAGGCTCTCACTGATGCATTGAAGGTTGTCTGAAAGTTTTCTGGATGCTGACCTCCCGTTTCCAGTAATCTGTTTGAAACTTAAACCTCTTAGGCCTACAGTTTTCAAGGGATGCTTTCAAAGGTGGCTTTGTTAAAATGCTGAACGTTTGAACAAAAACAATTCACGTTTCCCAGAAAAGAGGAATGGAAAAGGTACAGGTTTTTTTTCATTAAAGAGGGCTATCATTCTGACCTTCTTTTGATCAGCTCTACAGCCGAAAGGGCTAGAGGACAGAAGCTGGAACTGGACAAGGAGCTAGCTGTTTTTCAGAGAAATTATTCTGAATGTATCCATGGGTTTTGTTTGGATTCAGTGGGTATATACATCTGAAAACCCATACCTTACTCAGTTATAGTTTGTTTTACAGTCATGTCTTTCTACACTTTGCAAGTGTGCAACTACAGAACGCCGGCTGCCAGCAGGCACTTCCCGCAGTGTAACTCTCATTCTAGTGTGCTCATTTACACTGAAAACCCTCCTGATGAAGATCCGTAAGATGGAATAAAAAGTGAATCTGTCTCTAAGGAAATGAGGGTAGAGCTGGAAATCAGGGATTAGGGCATTTCTCCCAATTTTCTTCTTTTGGCTGGTATTTGACTTATTTTTTTATGCATTTCATAAGTTTAGTGTAAGGAAAATGTAGTTGCTGTAATGATTTAGCTGTGTAGTGAACTCTAGGTATGCTTATGAAGAGTTCATACTCTGAATGTGAGATACAGGTCTCCTTTACACCAGCAGGTTTCAGAGAAAATCTTGGCATTTATAAACCTATTTGCATCAGCTGTAAAATGAAGTTATGACACACAGACACAAAGATGTGTAAGCAGTTCTAGAAATGCAAAAAATCATCACATGCGTTTTGCAGACAGAATATGCAGTAATACCTTAAAATCAAAATGGATTGTTTAAGCGGCTGTTAATGACAGAGTGGGAGAAGACTAGACTCTGAACGTGCTACCTTTCATTTACCTTCCAGTCAGCAAACCATTTAGGCTGGCTTACTTATTTGTTTGAAGGGGATATCTTTGTGTAAATGTCTATGCTGATTTGAGTTTGTGGGATTTCTCAAAAAAGTTCTCTGTGTGTCAAAATCAGTCCGTTCCTAATTGTAGTACACGTTGAGCCATGCAAAAGAGAAAGAAAATACTCATATGTGACAGACTCTGCTTTTTTTATTTATTGCAATAACCACAGGATATTACCTAACTTCTACATAGTTCTTTTCATCTGTCAATAGTAAACAGACTAAAGAATACATTATTTAAAGCTGTTTTAAATGCACTGGAAGCAACTATGCCATCAGTGAGACTCTAGGCCTTGTGATTGACAGGAGGTGATAACAACTAAAAAGTAAAGCAGCAGAGAAGTTAAATCACTTTGAGAAGGGCACTCAAGGGAAGACCTACAATAGTAGACAAAAGGACAGTTAAATCTTCTGAGTGTGGTCTGTAGGGTGAGCTTTTACTTCCTTAGCACAAAGCTATGTGCCTGCCTTTCTTTAAATCTTTTCTCTTGCTCTTTTTGTGTTCCAGGATTAATCCCCATTCCAATGCTAAAATCCCTTGAAACGCATTGTGAATTTTTGGAGAGCAAGTCTTGCATTCCTTATACTGGCAGAAACTAAGATAAATTAATTTCAAAAGAAAAAGACTTAGGTTAAATTAACTGGGATGTTGCAAATCATAGGAGACACGTTGCAGATTGCCCTCCTTCTACCTTCCCGTAAAGTGAGAGGAAAGGACGTGTCAGTAAATGTGGGGGAAAAAGTTGTGTGTCCTTATTCGGCATGTAGCCAAGTCACTGATTTGAGTGATCTGGTTGCTATGGGAAATCATCACTGAAATATTACAACTGAATGTAAAAAGAAAAAAAAAAGTCTTGATAGTTTATCAACTCTAGTACTTTGATAATCCGATCGTTTTGCCGGAAAGTTTTTTAAAAATTAAACATTTAAATAGTGGGGTATTTAAAAAAAGAGTTTTCTTTTCCAGAAGCATGGGCTGTTTACCAGTGAGGTGAACAATCCATCTCACCCTAAAACTTCAGCCAGTCAGAGGAGCACAGAGTGCCTCAGCCTGGGACATGTCTTGCTCATTTACATGGCTGCTGCCTTTATCAAAGCAGGTAGGATCCTAAGTGTGTTGGAGACACACTTGTCTGCCAAATTGAGTTGAAATTGTCCAGTGACCCCCAGAATTACTTGAGGATGGATAGCTGGACAGGCAGGCAGCTCATGCCAGCCTTGTTTTCTTAGGAGGATTGTCTTCGTTCTTCAGCTAAGGAAGCAGTGCCTCAGGCAAGCAAAATAATTTGCATCAAAATTTTGCAAAAGTAGTAAAGGATCAAAGGAGCTCCTCGATATGACTGCTGAAGGAACAAGAAGAGATATTACCACATACAAAAGGATAGCAAATTTAGCTTAATAGTAAGTAGAAATGCGGTTTACTTAAGGTTATATGTGTGTGAATATTAGAGCCTACATAATATTTAACCATATTAATAAAATGTTGGCACTCCTGTTGTCAAGAGCAGAAGGATATTCAGAGTAATGCTGCCTGAGAAGAGAGAGGGATGACAAGGGCAAACTGTGAAAAATGAACTGTTCACACACCGTCTTGAGTGCAGATGTTGTGAGGTGCTTTCAGCCCTCAGGAACTAAAAGCGCTCCTGTAAGGGATCACTGGTTTTAGAGGTCCCAGTTCTGTTAATGATCAAAACAGTTACCTTTAATTACTTTCTAATTTTTCACATTACAGTTTTGCTCTTCTCTGCTGTTTCTTGCAGACCTTTTAGAGGTAGCTTGTGGAGTACAAGCTGCTCAGGAGTACCAGTCAGAAACCTGCTAGGGATGTGAACTTACTTTTTTTTTTTTTCCTGATCACAGCCAGAATGAGATTATCTTCTGGGATTAACAAACAAATTTGCAAGTATATTATTTCTTAATTATCCCTTTGCCTAATTCTCCCATACTGGACTTCTCTTAGGTCTTGTGTGAGTTGGGGGCAGAATGCTGTTACTTGGACTGTCTGCTGGTTTGTCATTAAATCCCGTGGAATCTGGACGTGATTCCAGGTGCTGTTTGAGGTTTTCAGGGTGGAAGGATGTCGTAAGTAACTTCACGTATTAGCTGTGTCCTCTCAGGAGGTGCTGCACTCCATGTAAAAGTAATACCAACGAGTGTTTTGTGTGATGTTAGAGCTACATCTCCTCCTCCAGGACAGTGAGTATCTGGGCAGCTCCAGTGTTTGCCGTCCTGTTACCTCCGCTGTAGGGCGGCTCCTGGGTGCTGTAGTTAGGGTGAGGTGTTAGCATGGATTTTGCATGCTTAGTGTTTGTCGTGAAGCTAAAGGCCAGCAGAATCCCGAGCCCTGTGCCTCAGAGCCCCAGCAGCGGGCTG